AGAGGTGCTCAAATGTGTCTTGTATTCATCTTTTGCTATTGGTATGTATCAGGTATTTCAATTTTAACATAGTTCTTTCCCTTTCTTAAAATGTGTATGCATTTTTTTGCTAATGATGGTGTGTATGTGTGAGTGTGTGTGTATAAAGTACATTGCCTCTTTGGGACTAAGTGTTATCACAATTTAATATTTAATTCATACCATTCTTGAAGGATCAGTAAGAAAAAGAAAGAAAAACACCAACACACGATGGCAGGTGTAGTAACAGCTACATTTCTCACTCTTGTCTCTTCTTGTTAGATTGTAAATTCCTTGAGAGCAAAGCTGGACTTTGCCCACACCTGTACCCTCAGTACTTACCATTAATGAAGCTTAGGAACTGTTTTTGCAAGGCATGAGTCATTCTGAATACGGAATCATCAGAAGTGTGTTCATGTGTAGGTAGCAAGTGGTACAGCATTTTTAAAAAGTTATTATTTTATTTTGGTTGAAAAGGTAGCTAGAATCGCAAAGACTGATATATAATTTATTATTGCTCTGAAGCAGAGGTCCTCAAACTTTTTAAACAGGGGGCCAGGTCACTGTCCCTGAGACCATTGGAGGGCCGGACTGTGGGATCTGGGACAAGTCAGCTGCTAAGCAGGACAGGCAGCTGCGGCAATAACACCCAGTGGCCTGGATAAATGTCCCAGGTGGGCTGCATGTAGCCGGAGTGCCGTAGTTTGAGAATGCCTGTTCTAAGGCCTTTAACATAGATTGACTCAGTCACTCTTGACAACAACCCTTAGACTCAGACGCTGTGTTCATTCCCGTTTTGCAGATGAAGGCCGTGAAGCATCACGTGGTGAGGTGAACTGCCCGGGACCACACTGTTACACACAGCAGAGCTGGACTTGAACACAGATGTCTGACTTTGTACCTGGGCTCCTAACCACTATAACATATTGCTTCTGCCTGGAGTGGTAGGATGTTTGTCTGACACAACTAATGTTCTGGTAAAGTTAAAACATTTTAGAAAACGTAATGGGTACATAACTGATTTTTCCATGCATGAAGACATGATTGTCAAAAGTTAACAGCGTGAGTAATCATCTCATTTCTTTCCTTAATGTTTTTTTTAAATGGAATTTTCCACATACTAAGGCATACTGAAATTTTTGAGTAGTCAATGAGGCAAGTGTTGAGTACTATCTAAAAGCTTTATTTGTTTGAACAAATTCTTAGAAACTTATTCAGATGAGAAGGGCACTGGAACAGAACATGTCCAAAATATCTGGAGATGTGTGCTATAAATAATGTTAGTGATTAAAGATTTGACGATGGATTAGAAAAATAATAAATAGCAAGTATTTCAAATGTGTATCCTAAGACAGCTATATAAAGATAGATGTAGCTCTTTTCTTATCAAGAAAAAAATAAATGCATATTAATATTTTTGCTTCATATATTAATGGTAAAATTATAAAACTGCATCTATCTTTCTCTTAATTTAGTGAATAACCATTTCCCAGGGCTATGTAATTAATCATACAGTAGCCTATTGATAAGACTTATCAGAAATACCTGATGTGGAAAAATTATAATTTTGATATTTTAGTCCACCTTTTTTCATATTTTATCCATGTGTATATTTTACATCCAACTCCAAGAAATGTTAGGAGGGAATATTGTGAAAGGGAAATGGCCCCAGGTTTTTTCACTCTAGCAGTGGGCTAGTTGCTTTAGAGTTTGTATATGTCCTTCCTGTAACAGTCCTATCATTTTCATTTTACAGATGAGTGCATTGAGACCAAAGGGTCAATGAACCTTGCTAAATTCATAAT